GGGGTATTGTTGTTTTGGCGTCTAGCCTTAGTAGAAATTTCTCTTTTGTGCACATAAGGGAAATTTAGTCTTTCATTATTATTATCATTAGGTATGATTTGCTAAGTCTAGGATTAGGTTTATGCATGAGATTATTTTGAACTTAGGTTTAGGATTTATGAGAAATTTCCTACCTCTCGAATTGTAGGGATTGAGAGAGATTGCCTACCTCTCAAATTCCAGGTGCTACTCTTTCGTATTCATGCTGAGTTGTTTGGATTATTGAAAAAAAAATTGGGTTTGCCCTAATTTCTGTGGAAAAACATGTCGATCTTAACGTCTGATCGTACCAGAGGCCAACTTTAATTTCAAGTATCGATGATAAAACAATAATGCACCATCCATAAAGATGGAGATATCATCCGTATAATTCTTCCCCTAATCCTAATGTGAATTATCCAATTATACCCAACACCCACACATCCTAATCCAATACATTTTCAAATATGTATTTAATTCTTCTATATTTTGAAAGATTAAAATCAATCAATAAAAAAAATTCAACATACAATAAAATATAGAACACGAACATCAAGTTAAATGATCTTTAGATTTTAATATAGTATCCAAGTAAACTATACATAGCAGAACATGAAAAATAGAGTAAAAATCTAATAAAAACTAATAAACATACCTATCATCCTTAATATGGGACCATTGTTCCCACTAACATGATCCCAAACCACTCTATCTACATTCCTCAATAACTCTTTACTGAAACTCATAAAAAATAATAAAAAAGAAAAAAAAAAAAAAACTCTTTACCGAAACTCTAGTTAAGACAAATTTTCACCTTATGTACATCTCATCCACAATAAAAACACTGACCAGTAAAAAGTAAGCAGTTTCTTGGATGTTTTTCCAACATAAATAGCAAAATCTTCTAATCCTTGACAATTATATCATTGCCCTTCTTCAACATAGTGCATACTAATATTTTCCTTTGAAGCAACTCTTATCAAACATTCTTGCAGGAAAATCCACTTTAATTTACACTAGCATGATTGTTATCCAAATCCCTGATTTATTAGAATTTATTGCTCCATGCTCCCGTGGTGTTATCAAACCACCTCCATGTACAACTTTCTACATTGCATTATGTTATCATCTCCTTTTGATATGACCATATAAATTATTTGGAATGCCCTTTCTAAATTACACCATATAAATCCAACACCTAATGAGAAATACACTCCCTGATTTATTAGAATTTATTGCTCCATGCTCCCGGTGGTACCAAACAACCGCCATGTACAACTTTCTACATTGCATTATGTTACCATCTCCTTTTGATATGACCTAAAAAATTATTTGAAATGCCCAATCTAAATTACACCATATAAATTTGACACCTAATGAGAAATACACTGATAGAGGAGACCACAGATATACCATGTAAAATAAAATCAACATCATGGCGTCAAATGGTGATGTGCAATGAAATTAGATAGTGGCATACAACACAAGGCCTATGAGAAATTAGAAACAATCCTTACTCTTGTTTGGTCTCTATTATCATTCTAAGGATGAAGATATGGCCCTATAATAAATTAGATACAATCTCTAATATATTCTCCCAAATCATAATGCTCACAAGGATCTCTACTCCAATCCATTATTCTAAACCATTGCTTTGAATTTCTAAACCATTGCTTTGAATGACAATTGTAGTGCTATGCCCCATTCCCATTCAACCTCTACTCTGAACTAGACCCCATCAAGATCAAATAAAACACAAGTAAACCCAAGTTACACATTCAAATTATAATTCAAAAAGACCACAAATCAATAGAAATATAAACAGTCCTACAGCAGATTGTAATATCTACAATCCAAATTATTACATATCCAAGATTTTGCACCGTACTACCAATGAAGCTACATACATTAAACTTACAACAATTATATAAAATAAGATATTAAATATTATTATCATTAAAAGGTCACTTAAATCATATGATCTAATCTACAAATATCTAGGCCCAAAACTACTTATTAGCCCAAGCCTAAACAATTTTCAAAACGAATGTAAATTAAGCAAGATTTTGCTAAATACTAGCAAAAAGCTTTAGGGGATCCTATGATTTTGATATATCCTATTTCAACCCCATTAATAGTTCCATACAAAATTTGTGAAATACCCTAATTCGGAATATTTAACAAAGTTAAAAGATTTTTCCCTCAAAAATCTTACATCATGAAAGAAATATCCAAATAACATAATAAGATTTAACAGGATTTCCTAATTATCAAGAAACAATTTTCTGGATTTAATCCTCTTGAGATTCAAGATTTGCTAAATCCTACTCGAGCTAAATCCAACTTATAGAAAAAAAAAACCGATAAAAGTGACTAATCATACAATCAAGAATATGGTTAAAGACTCTAAGAATGGTAAAGTCATGGTAGTATTGGCTTCATTTTAATTTTCTTTCAAATCTCAGAAAAAACCGCTTATAAGTTAACCAAGACTATTTAACACCATGTTATGCAACCTCTATTAAACTTTCGACAGAATTTCAATATCTCTTCTCGAGGCATGTAATTGATTGTGTGTTGATGGATTTTATAGCAGATCTTCCTGAACACCTTTCAAGAAATCTATATATCCTTTTAGTTTCTCCTGATTTCGTCGTATTTTTCCTTTCTTTTGTGTTGATTTTCATCAAAGTGTCGCATGAATTTGAATCTGAGACAAGAAAGACCTACAACCAACACACATTATGCGGTTCAAAATTTTGGTCTTAAAACCAAAAAAATCGTGGTAATTGCACCAGGAGCAAAAGCGCCCAGACTTCGCACAAAAGAATCACTCCCAGCATATTTGAGCAATTCAGGCGCAAATGCGCCCCCTTCTTTGTCAAGGACCTAAGCATGGGCGCGAAGGCGCCTCCCTTACAAGCAGCGCCCAAGGCCGGCGCAAAAGCGTTGGCTTCTCTTTGGTTTGGATGTTGTAGGCTCCACAATGACAACAGCTCTTTGGTATGAGATTTGAGCAGGATTTAAACAGAATTTGACCTTAAACCCTGCCAAACGGAATTTTTGGATAAACTAAAAGAGAGCAAATATGAAATCAAATAAAATCACTTGGGCAGATCTACCAAACATAGTCCAGATAAAGATTCAAGGCACAAAGAGACATTTATCCTATTTCAAACAATTCATTGTCATCAACCCTGTTAGAGTTTCAGAGTCCTAAATGAAAAAAATAAATGCATTGTTAAGTGTTTCCATTAAACCTTACTACAAAACTATCCGATCTTTAGATAACTATAAGCTCAATATCTCTAGCGTGCCTGACTTGGAGACATGAAAAACCTGCATTGTCAAGTATTTAGGAAGTCAATAACAAAATCCCAGAACTCCTGAAAGCCTCTTCCAGCAACATTTCTATCAAAAAGTAGAAGCTTCAAAAGAAATAGTAAATTCTCTCTTTGGAGTCAAACACTTGAGAGCGAAACTCAAACAGTTGGTATGCAATTGCCGAATTAAGCTAATCTTAGCAAATTGAAGTTAAACATTTGTTTACTTGTAAATTGGATGTCAAACAAGGGAAGTGATGCTTCAGGTTACCACTCAGGATGTTCCTTCGATCAAATAGCTCATACGAAACCAACAAATAATGCGATTGATACAGAAAGGAAAAAAGTAAAATCCTTCTTCCCATAGATCAGAATAAAATATGCTATAAAGTTGGACCAGCCAAGAATTAATCATTTGATCCGTGTACCAACCAAAATGCTGAACCTGCATGCAGCTTATTAAACGTCGTAAAAGGTAGACAACCCTAAAAGTACTATTACTGAAAAAAAAAAGGCCGGTTAGGAAAAGGGGCTTTATGAGCGAGCGAGAGAGAAAGTTGAGACGCTTACACAACAGCTCCTACCACCATGGGAAGCGAAAGAAACCTTCCCCTTCGAAACATCCTTTCCACCCCGATCCAAGAAAAGCTAGGGTATCAAACGTAGCTCTCAAGAGTCGCAACAATGAATGTTTGAAAAAAACAAAAAATGATTGCATCCATAAACTATTCCAAATGGACGGTGGAAACTAATTTCCAAAAAAGAAAAAATAAAACCTAAAAATTCACAGCCAGGATTAAACACCTCAATAATTAGCAAATAACTCCCTCACCTGTATCCCCCTCTTTTTTATTCTCCCCATGTTCTCCTTCGCCATCCTCATCCCAAAACCCTCCACCCATCTCACAAATTCGATTCCAAGCTTTCTCTGGCACCGGGACCACCGAAAGCCGCGGCTGCCGTAAGAGTGCGAAATCCTTCATCTCCCCTGTCGCGGCCTTAATCTCCCTCAAATCCACGGCTCGCCGCATCTCCGACACCGTCCGAACGTTTACCGCCCCCTCCCAGTCATCGCTGCTTTCATCGGCAGTGGAGTACCAAGTCCTGGCAACCTCGACCACGCCGATCACTCGGCGTTCGCGTCCGGAATGATAAAACAAGCAGAGATCGCCGCATTTCATGGACTTGAGGTTTTTCTGCGCCTGACGATTTCGTACGCCGTCCCACCGGGAGACACCACCGTCGGAGCGGAGCTGATCATCCCACGACCACTCCACCGGCTCCGTCTTGAGAAGCCAGTAGCTGCGTTTCCCATTGTTTCTAACGAGCGCTTGTTTAAGATTTCTCATTGTATTCGAGATTTCTTGACGGGGCAGAGAGAGGAGCGGAGGGGACTGGCTTTTTGGAGGGAAACGGAGCGGCCCGCCATCCACATCGAAGAAACTATTTTTTTTTTTTTTTTAATTCAGTGGGAGAGAATATTAACTCATGTCTCCTTAGCAGTTTGGGTTGGAAGTCCAGGTGAGCACCACTGTTCAATATTAGTATTGTTCGGTTTTAAAAATAATGTAGCTCACTTGACACGTGACGTCCTATCTTTAAACTCCAAATGCATCACAAGTCACAAGTCTTGATGTAATATTTTTTTCACTTAGTGGCGTGATGCTATATGTGCATTTTACATTATGACTCCTATATAATTTTTCTCCCAAATGAGAGAGTCTAGCCAGAGTGACTTTAGGTTTTGATTTGAGTTTAGTTAATTTTATTTAGTACGGGTCAAGCCCTCTTGTCTTAATTTATTTATCTTAAAATAAATAAGATAATATTAATTTAAAATAATATTATTACAAAATAATAAATATAAAGAGTAATTAAGAGAAAATAATTAACAATCACTTAATTTAAAATAAAATTTAATTTTTAAATATTTTTAATATTTTAAGGAAAATTTTCAAAATTTAATATATTTTGAGTATATTTATATTAATATTTTTTTTTAAACAAGCCCGCTCATGAACTAATGCGCCATTGGAGCTAGCTTGAGCTTGACTTGATAGTTCATCAAGTTTAGTTCACAAGCCACTTATCGAGCCGAGCTCGAGCAAGCTCACGAGTCATCTTGACCAACTCACACCACTAAATGCGAAAAAAATTTTACATGCTACGTCCAGACGCCAATAACACAACATCAAGTGTACTTTAGTGAGCCCTAATTTAAAAAATTATAAATTTATGAGTCAAAATATAAGTGATTATTTAAATTTTATATACTAACTTTGTAGGATGCTATTACCTTAAAAGTATTGATTTCTTTAAATTTAAAATTTACATCAAATACACTTGAATTTTCATATTTAAATGCGGGCGTTTGGTGTTTCAAATTTATGAATAAAAAAATTGATTAAAAATTTTAGAATAATGCTATTTTAATGTGATATTAGAAATTTGATCTAAACATCGGTTGTTAGAATGACAAAAGTAAGAGCTTTTGCATGTATGAAGACAATGCATTATCACTTCCATAACTTTTTTGTAAAGATACAAATCTAAACTAAACTATATAGAGCATTGGTTGAATAGTCGAAGCGTTTTATTATGGCATCAACAAATTCTGTATTTTAGATGGAGCGATGAACCTAGTACGATTAACACAAATTTTAGAGCATTTTTTTAAAAAAAAATACTTAAATACTTAAACTCAAATAAAAAATCAGCTAGAACTTTGATTTTAATGAACTTACAGTCAAATTGATCGGGTTGACGGATTCAATGACAGAAAAATTAATCCAATTTGAGTCAGATCAAGTCCTTATACCACTTTTGGAATTATTAGATAGCTAATTAGAATGTCAAATGGATTCCAAATTTTACGGGCTTATAGTCAATTTGAGCATCTTGTGTGAAGTATCCAACGAGCTCAAGATCTCTTAATTCTGACATCGTAAAAGGTACTTAAATATTCATAAAGCGATGTTCAATTGTGGAAATCTCTTTGGGTCGACTTATGGAGTAGTCTATTTTTTCCTTATTTGCAAGGGATACACTCTCAAACTTTATAACTATAGTCATATTCCTTTCATGAAAAGGGTACTTGGAACAAGATCTGGACTTGGAAAGAAGTAATCAAATTTTATTGTTGTTGCAAAATGAAGATCTGATGAACATTTCCTGCTATAGCAGCTATTGAGAACTGCTCGGATGCCATCGATCGCATTTGGTCACCTCCTGCTTGCTAATGATGATGAATATGTGATGTAACCACACCTGAAGACGGTGGAGCGACACACCACTAAAACGGTGTAACAACGCCCCAAAAAATAGCATAATGATGCATCCCTAAGACGGTGTAAGAAATAGGCGACAATTGATGACGGCTGACGAGTAGTGGTCGGTGGTGGTTGGCTGCAACAGAAGTGGGAAGCTTTCGCTAGATCTTTGATGCAAAAACAACCTTAGGCTTTAGCTCCTTCTTTACCCAGTCCTCCCTTAGGCTTTGGTCTAAGTTCCCTCTTTAAGAATGGCGTAGGGCCCTATTTATATAGTTTAGCTAGCAAATAAGGATGAAATTTGTAACACTATGATCAGATAACCTGGAGAAGTTCCTTTAATCAGACGTTATTCTGTGGAAATTTAAGCACCTCAATGATGTCATAATTTGAGTGATCATAGGCTCATTGGATTCATCTTGATTTATGTTATCAAGACCCTTGATTGGACTATAATCATGTATCATTTAAAATCTATTTAACCTTCCAATCATGAATTGAAAACTTTTATAATGAGTTTAATCTAGGATTGTGATTTGACTCGAATTGAGTCAATTTTGATATCATTGAGTTTGTCTCATCAAGTCGGTCAAATTAACTGTTAGTTTGTTGAAATCAGAGTATGAATAACTTTTAATCAAAGTTTAAAATTTTTTTGCTGAAAAAGTTACCTCGAGATTCATGTCATGCCTCAAGATTCGTGTCAGATGATACAAATTTATTGATGACATATCAATTCACACCAAGGTTCAATTCTCAAAGGTGATCGGAGCTCATCAACTGAACTTCTTGGTTGAAGTACTATTTGTCATTTCATCTCCCTCGTCAGTAACAATTAATTGATATATTTTGACCATATTATTGATACATTAATTTTTGAAATTTAGTGTACATTATCCAACAATATTTCATATTACTTATCACCTACGAAAGGAGACACAATGGAACTATCATCAACAATAAAAAGACACGTAGAATTCATTATAAATCAAAACTGTCATGATATAGTGATCTCAGACTCTTATTCTAAGTTCATTGGCATTTGTCTCCCTTAGGTATATTATAAGTCTAATTCCTCCACTGATAGAAATAGGGTGCAAAATGTTCATTAAAGCTCAATTGCCCATAAAACCAAGGCTCAAGAAAACTAATAAACGATTCATTATTTCAACAGTCTTCCCTTGAACAAGATCTAACAATGTGTTGTCATTATTTGGAGGGTTTTAACAAAAAATATGCTCAAACAAAATAAACTTCACAATTACATCAAAGTACAGGAGACAAACATATACACAACACCTAATTCATAGTACTCAATATAAATTTTCGAGCTTTGGAATGCCCTAAAATTTTTAGCAGTCAATGCTACAGTCTATTATTTCAAGGGCATTTACATAAATCTCACAAAATTCTCATCTATTTACATATCTAATACCTAAATTTTCATATCTACATACATAACGTTCAAATATTAGTATTACATTAAAAATACGCATGTTCATCTATAGGTTCATGACACGAGAGTTATAAATGTAAATATCAAATTTGAGGTACATTAATTCGTGGTTGTCAATTTGCTTTCCATAACTTTTTAACAAACAAATTTGAAGTTTCTAGAAAGCTAATTGAAGCCACTCCTTTCCCCTAATCAAGCATTAATTAAAAGAATATTCTCCATAGAAAAAATTTCTGACGAATAACTGCATTGACTAAATCTTTTAATTTTTCGTAACAGCTAGCAACTCATTTAAAAGCCTCACAAAAAGTAAATAAATAAATATATCATTTAATGGGGGAAGCAAATTAGGTTTTGGAGATTTATTGCGCAATAACTATGTTTATATATGCAATTAAATGACATTTATGTAGAAACTCAATTAGAAGCTCCTAATTTTTTGTTTATACTTTAATGGACGTGCATGCATGTGGAACTATATGTGGATATTACAATGGCACGTATTATTTCCATAAAATAAATAATATTACATTGCCCGCTAATTAATCTCAACGCTGATGCTTCTGCTCCCAGCACAGTTTAGTTCGATTATATATATGATTTTATTCTTAAAGTAAATCACGCATAAAATTATTTTGACTTCAAATATAATTAATATATATTTCGGAATATTTTTAAAAATAGAATATAAAAATGAACTTCGATAAATGGAATATGTCACATATAAAACTAAATTTTTTAAATAATTTTTTTATTTAAAAAATATGAAATTATTTATAAGAATTTTAATGGAAAAAATGTGAAATTCAGAAGCTATTTATCAAGCCGATTCGGAGTTATCTCTTGAGTTGGCTTGACTTAATTAAGCCTCAATTTATAATGCTAGTAATCATGAAAAACCATCAACATTTATTTATTTTTAAATCATGTAATCATGTGATCAAGTTTTGTTTAGATAAATCGCTCCATGTTAGCAACAGGAAATTATTAATTTTATTCTGAGAAAATTAACTTAATATATAGTCTTTTTGTATGCCTCAATTTTTAAGTAGAGTGACAATTTTTATGGCATGTTGCGGTCGGTTTATGACAGTTTATTTGATGTGGTGGCGTTTTGAAAACGCACGTGATCTGTTTGGGTAAACTGTGTTTTGGCAGATTATGCGTTTTCAAAACACCGAAAACAGTGTTTTTACACCGCACCTATCTAGGTGCGGTTGAAACATTCTGACAGCGGTCTGACTTTTCCAAAAAGATAAAAATTTGTAATAGTCATCGCACCTAGCTTATCAGTAGATTATTTTTAATCAGCTTATCATCAGATTATTCAATAAGCTGCAGCTCCCCCAAACAAACCCAAATCTGATGATTTGCTGCTCATAACAAAAATGGGGAATTTTCATTTTAAACCTCGATTTTATAGAAAAGTGCAATACTAACTTGAAACCGAAATTTAATATACAAGTTTTCTAAGTTTTTTTAGAATAAATATTATTAGTTTTATTGCAGTTGATTGCTTTGCAAGAAAAATATTTTGCAGAGAGCGTGTGCAGCTTAAAGAAGAATATATACATTCTTATTACATCAGAAAGCGATATTTTCAGCTCAAAATAATTAAGAATGTATCCTCCAAGACTAATTGCAAAATACTGAATAATTTAACTATATATCTAGAATATATACATATGTATACTCATTCCACTTTAAAATCAATTTGCTACAAATTTCAAATAGTCTTT